TCGGTTTTCTGCTCGGCCGTGGTATCACTCCGGTCGAGCCGGCCCAGCAGTGCCGAAGCATGGCTCTTCCACACTTGAATTGAAGGCTTAGCCTTTACCAATTTTTGATGGTAGTTAAAGGATTAAACGCGACTTAAAATTGAGTGTAAGTACCTACCTAAATAACATTAAACTGTCAAACACCAAGCGGACACCGGTGACCGCAACCTATTGTTCTATAATTGTGTCTATAATGACTGTACTCGACGAGTTAAATAAATAACAACCACAATCGGGTTAACCTCTCATTTTCTCATCTTACTATCTCTGCCCGGTCCTTCGAAGGATAAACAAACATGAATGAGAAAAATAAAAGCAGTTTCACTATTACAGAAATTAAACAAAAAAAAAACAAGAAAATTAGTTAAAAAAACAATGCACACGGTGCAAAAAGGCTAGTGGTCAGCTAAAATATCATTTATAAAACTCAGGTGAATGTGGAAACAGAGATGTGTATTCGTTAGATTATGTCCCCAGTTAAGTTAATTTTATTTTTAATATGTAATTATAGTTCCTAAGTTAATGTGATAATTTCAATTCTCCTCAATTTCAATAATGTTGCTACTTTAAATTATTTGTAATGTTTATAATTAAAATGTCTAATAAATAATGTATAAAATAATATAATTGTATCATATAGTTATATAAGTGATAAGAAATTTTAATAATAATAAGTTTATAGTGAGTAATTAAGTTATGAATAGAATAAGTACATAATATATTAGATGATTATTTAGTTATTATTTATAAGTTAAATTGCTGCGCCCTAACAGGGTGATATACTGTACTAGTAGTATAATACCGCTATGTATATACATTTTGCAATAAAAAAATAAATAAATAAATATTGTGGCCCGTGAATGTAACTATAATGTAAGACCGACAATTTTATTATCGCCATCACGCGTACAGCCACGTACTGTCCACTGCCCGTCACAGTCCTCCCCAATGACTACACAGCGTGAGGTTGAAAGCGACCTGCATACAACGCCTTCTTACAACATTTAACGACCGTAAAACAACTCAATGACTTTTTAGGGAACAGAGAGTATAGTTCCCTAAGATCGGAAAAGGAGGATCCTCCGACCAGGCGAGGTGATCGTGCCTGGCGGGCTTTCTGCCCAACAGTTGTTCGTTGGGATTTTCTACTCGTGTTTGATTGGAAACTTCGCATGCGATGTAAGATTTTATGACGTCATCCGTTGACATGTGACAGGTGTCGCCCACAACTTGAACAATCGTTGACTGCACGGTTGGTGCGGTGGCTGGGCAACCGGCTGCCGTGCAACGTGTCGCGGGTTCGATTCCTGCACGGAACAACAATTTGTGTGATCCACAAATTGTTGTTTCGGGTCTGGGTGTCATTGTGTATGTGAACTTGTATGTTTGTAAACGCACCCACGACACAGGAGATAATCCTAATGTGAGGCAACGTTTTGTAAAAAAAAAAAAAAAGCATCTGCAGCCCATAACGGCTATGAGCCACCTCTACATAAGGAAGTTCGCTGACTAAGCAGGCGAGTCAAAAATCGCAGTATACAATGTTCAAGTTTATCAGAGACCGCAGCTGCCCGGTCTCTGTCTAATATTTAGTCCCTTAGTCGGTTAAACGACACCCATAAGAAGAGTAGAGGTGGTGAAAAATATATTCTACTCTGCTATCACTAAACGAGGGTAAAAATATTGTGTAGAACAAATTCAATGTTTATTCTATATTTCTAAATAACCGAATAAAATGTTCTAAATCGTCGACTCCGTTCGGAAACACCAATATCTGTTTGCAAGTACGTAATAAAATTCAGATCTCGTAAAAAAGGCACCCCCGTACGAATATCCGAATTCGGAATGTATAAAAAAATAATACAACCGACCAATGGGATCGCTTACAAACTTTTATTCGATACAAATCGGCCAATAGAGGCGAGGTTTTAAGACGTCGTTGTAGTGATAATGCTGTCTCTTTCTTACTTATAGGGTTTGTGTATTGCTGTTTCGCGGGTTCAGTGAAGTTGTCTCAAGACTATGAGAATGGTTCCTCGCCGTCGCGCGTTTTTTCAACTCTTTTTTTGTAGAAAGGGGTGGCTTTGGAAAGGTATTTTACTTTAAAACGATACAATTATATGATTATGACGTTGTTCATTTCTTCTTTGATGTTTGTTTTAGAAGGTTTAGGTAAAAAAATGCGTAATTCTCGGTCAAATTGGTGTAATATTTGCGATTCGTTTTTGTTTTGAAGACCATACATATGGCCGTAAATGTATGCAAAACCAAAGATAGGCCAATTTAAGCTAGAATCATAGCATTTCGGCGTGATCTCCGACTACTTCAATAGGAGGAAAACGTAACAATGAAGTACTTAGGTTTTCAATTTAATAATGTAATTGTCTCTCGACTGCCTCTTTGGACGAGTCATCATCATGATCATGACGAGTCATCATCAACAGCCTATAAATACCCACCGCTGAGCAAAGCCTCTTCTCACACGGAGAAGATTTGAACATTAATCACCACGCTTGCTCAATGCAGGTTGGCGATTTCCTACCTACTAATAATATAACTATAATTAAAAATTAAAAATCCAGGTTCACGATTTTTATTTCACCGTTCGTCAGTGGTATCTAAATAATCTTAGAAAGAACATATAACTTTGAAAATGTCACATTGGTACGAAGCTAACGGCAATACCTACACATTGACCGACCAAGTCGTTACTCCCTCTATTTTAATTCTCAGTCACTTACATAAAAGCATTGGTTTAAAAAATAAACAATTGTCCAACTCACGAATCAAATGATCAACGACTCACTCAAAATGATGGACATAGAGACTGATTACAAAAAAAAAAAAACAAAAAAACAAAAGCCATTTACCATAAACACACCCTCAAAAAAAAAATCCGAATCAACAATCCGTTTAAACTCATCTGAGTTGAAATTTAAATACAACCGAAGTTGGGTCTAGTTGATTTGATTCAACCACACTGGGAGGGGTTGGAACCTATTAAACGGATAGCTTGGGGACGTGTATAGATAATTGAAGGCGTTTATCGAATTAGGGGGCTACAGAAACCCTGGTTTAGTAATTGTGCGGTTATTCCGGTACAGACACCTAAATATGTGAGACCTATATTTTACATACTGCAGGGATTTATTTGTATTTTTTTTTGGGACCAGCCTGCCTCTCCCTGCCAGAATCATTGCAACTCCTGTAAGCCAGGATCTACAGTCGATACAACCATGAAAACACTGGAACACTGAAGTCCGAAGTCCCAGGGATATGAGTAACTGTCTTGGTTCCCGCAACGAAGTGAATCAGAAGATATTATAAGAGGAGAAGAAAAAAACTATAGTTTCCACTTTCCTCGGTGAATGATTGCAGGAGACAGAATATTGTAGTTTGTTGCCTCGTTGGCCGAGTGGTCGCAAGTGCTACCGGACAAGGGGTCTCGGTTTCGATTCCGGGGTCGAGTAAAGTATTACTGGGTTTTAAAAAAAATCTCAATGGTAGCAGGGAATCTGGAAATGTGACCGGTATATGGCAACAGGCTCACCCCCTATTACATGGCACTCATAACATAAATAGTGAAAAGTGGGTGTTACATTGTAGAGGTACAGTGGTATAATGTGCACCTCTGCCTACCCGTTCGGGGATAAAAGGCGTGATGTTATGTTATGTTATTTTTGTATTGGTGTCTATTTCTATATGTAAATAAAGATTATTCATTTTGATTTATTAATAACTTCTGCCAGTAGCTGGTGTCTAAATAATCTTAGAAAGTACATATAATTCGGAAAATGGCTCATTGGTGCTGCCGTTGGTAGGTTTCGAAGCTGCGCCCTCATGCTTGAGAAGCGAGCGTCTTAACCTCTTACAACGACACATTAAATTGACATGCTATTAATAAGCTAATTTAAGTAGCACTTCTCACAAGTACCTATTGATATCGTCTCATTACTTCTCAATAATCGAAACCAAAAAGAGGTTACAATTATAACAAAAAAACCCACTTAGTCTCAACCAGAAGTTATCAAAAAAGGCATCGCTACACCAACATAGACGCAAAAATCTCGATACTAAAATTCAAATGCTCCCCTCTAATTGTTTTAAATGGTTTCTAGGGGCGGGCCGGCTGTATATGACAGCCCCCTTGCTACCCTAAGGGGTAACAATTTTTTGTAACACCCTGTGTTTAACTCCCCCTAGGGGGCGCATTGTATCCTTGCGAAACTCCTTGGTAAGGTTTTGATGTTATGATTTTTCGAATTATAGGATTATAATGGTATGTTATGAAGATGAAATGGAAATTTTTGTACGAATAGTGATTTCGTTAAAGGGGTTCGTTTTGTTTTTTGAACATAGGTTTGGAGACTTTAGAGTTGTGGTCTAAAGACCACTAACTAACGTTACTCTCTACTGTTAATCTCTACTGTTTACATAATAACATTACACTTTTTGAATATAAAAGAAAGGGTAGGCAGAGGTGAACATTACGCCACTTAATGCCATTGTACAATGTAACACCTATGTTTCACTGTTTATGTTATGAGTCCCATGTATTATTTGGTTCAATTCCTGGGGTCTCGGGTTGGATTTACGAGTTGGGTTAGGTATTATTGAATTTAAAAAAAAATTCTTAGTAGTAGCACGGAGTCTGGTATTGTGCCCGGTATACAATAGCAATAGGCTCACCTCCTATTACATGGGACTCATAACATAAATAGTGAAAAGTGGGTGTTAGGACATTGTACTTACAATGGCATTAAGTGTCGTAATATGCACCTCTGCCTACCCCTTCGGGGATAAAAGGCGTTATATCATATTATATACATATATGAGAAACAAATTTCATTTAAAATTGATGAAAATTTTAGGTTTAAAAATACGCGCATAATTTGTTAAACAATAGTGAAAAAGTAATATATAAAAAAAAACAAAATACAATTATAATTAATCACACGAACCTGACTATCCTTCAATCCGAGTTTTTCAGCGAGCTTCTTTCGATCCGGCTTGGAGATGTACTTCTGGACCTGGAACCTCTTCTCCAGACCCTTGCGTTGGAGGTCTGAGAAGACTGCACGACGCATCATGCCACGACGGGGTTTGCCTGCGAAAGATGGCTTTTTGAGAAAGGTGTTACGACTACGACAATTGTAACTCATCTAAAATAAGGTAGATGCCTAATTTTTATTTTAATGTCCGTCTGGAATTATTTTAAATCATTTGACACGTATTTTTTATTTTCTTACAGAAACGAAAACTTTCGACGATATATTGATTTGAAATGTCGCGTGACGTCACTTCTATGTAACTACATTTTATATGTAGAAATGACGTTTTAGCCCCCACTCCTAAACTTTGATTCGTTATATCTAAGTATTGTTTTATTGTACGACAAAATAAAAAAATACGTGTCTAATATTTTTTCATTAAGTACCTAACTTATGGTCTTATGGACTAATTATAAAAATACCTGAATAAAACTGAGTGTAATCTTAACAAAAATAAGGAAGAAGGAAGACATTCCAGTTGTAATATGTGGGGCCTATGTACTCTGTTTTTATATATTTATTGTACTCTGTGTTGAATGTGTGTACATCCTTATCCTTACTATCCTTACTAATATTATAAATCGGAAAGTGAGTTTGTTTGTTCCGCAATCACACCGTAACTACTAAACCGATTGCTTTGAATTTTTGCAGACGTGAAGTTAGAAGTCCGGATTAAATAATAGAGTACTTTTTATCCCGGAAAAATTTCATATCCCCGAGGGAAAACAAAAGTATTGGTATAGATGGCGCTGTGTGTATTGGTGTATGTGATATAGGCTACTTTATATCCTTTTGTGACGCGAGCGAAGCCGCGGATAAAAGCTAGTAAATAAATAAATAAAAATCATAAATGGTTTTTTGTCAACTGGGATTAAAAAAATTATTGAAAAGTATGCAGAGCTGCGTAATGACTGCCTCTCGGTGCTTGGACGTCGCATGAGTTATTTGTTTTCGGTCGTTGTACCTCCGCTATTATTTTCAAAGAGCCCTTTCCCCAAAATTGACAGATTGAATTGAATTGAAAGATTGACAACACTCGTGCTACCTGCAGCTGTATCCAAATGCCATTTAGCGCTTGTCTACATGTAGAATAGAAAACCAAATTATATGAAACTAGCTTTTACCCGCGGCTTCGCTCGCGTAATAAAATGATAAAAAGTAGCCTATGTGACATATACACACAGCGCCATCTATACCAATGATTTCGTTTTTCAGAATAAAAAGTTATTTAATACATATTTCTAACTTTACGTCGGCAAAAATTCAAAGCAATCGGTTTAGTAGTTACGGCGTGAAAGCGGAACAAACAAACAAACTCACTTTCCGATTTATAATATTAGTAAGGATTGACGTAAATTTTGACATTTGTCAGTGTCATCCCCATACATGACAACACGGTTAGTGCGGTAGCTGGGCAACTGGCTGCCATGCAACGTATCGCGGGTTCGATTTCCGCACGGAGCAAGTCTGTGTGATCCACAAATTGTTATTCCGGGTCTGGGTGTCATGTGCATGTGAACTTGTATGTTTGTAAACGCACCCACGACACAGGAGAAAATCCTAGTGTGGGGCAACGTTTAAAAAAATTGTTTTTTACTCTCTCGGTAGACATGCGCTAAAGTGGCGTTTGAGGCACTGTAGTGTTGCACAGACATCAATCTATATAGTTAGTACTAGATTGGACTGATGTACTTAGACTACGATATCCGATTACTGTAACTGTAAGTGCCGAGTGCCGAGTGCCGAGTGGTCGCAAGTGCGACTGCCGGGCAAGGGGTCTCGAGTTCGATTCCCGGGTCGGGCAAAGTATTAATGGGTTTTAAAAAAAAAATCTCAGTAGTAGCACGGAGTCTGGAATTGTGCCCGGTATATGGCAATAGGCTCACCCCCTATTAAATGGGACTCATAACATAAATAGTGAAAAGTGGGTGTTACATTGTACAGTGGTATAATGTGCACCTCTGCCTACCTCTTCGGGAATCAAAGGCGTGATGTTATGATGGTATGTATGTCACTGTAAGTTTTGTCACTACCGGTTGTAGTACAATTATAATGAAGTGTAGGAGCTCACCTCTTGAACTATGTGCCCAAGGGAAACCGCCGGGTAGTGGGAATACTTGAGTATGTGCTTGTGCTGGTCTCACTGTAACAAGAGGGATATATTAGGCTAACGAAATGATTCAAAGACGAGATCAAAGCTCCCAAAACTAGAAATTATTGCAGACATTCTTAAGAACTACACAAAAAATATATCATAAAACACTAATAAAGTTTTTATGGCATAAGCCGGTAAACGAGCAGACGGATCACCTGATGGTAAGCAATCGACGTCGCCCATGGACACCTGGAACACCAGAGGTGTTACAAGTGCGTTACCAGCTTTTTGGGGATTAGGAGTTTGAGGATCGTTGGGGATTCAGGGATTGGGGAGATCGGGGAAGGGGAAGGTAATTGGGCCTCCGGTAACCTCACTCACACGACGAAACACAACGCAAGCGTTGCTTCACGTCAGTTTTCTGTGAGGCTGTGGTATCACTCCGGTCGAGCCGGCCCATTCGTGCCGAAGCATGGCTCTCCCACTACAAAAGGTAATAAAAGTTATTAAATTCCCAATAAAATACGAGTAAAGCCAGAAGCAAATATTGTACTATCCATAATTCTATTGTGTGTGTACCTTTCAACAAAGAACATATATTCGAAATTTCAAAAAAAGAATCATACAATGGATGGATAAACCTACCTATACACGTCATATCAAAATACCCTAAACCGATTAAACCATTATCAACTCTATATACGTAACATATTAAAGTTGAAAATCAAATAAAGATATTTGACAGATTTGTGTAGTTTCATATGCAGGTTTGTGAACAAAGTCTTTTTGCTCATACTAGGCTGAATGCGATCAATTCCGTTGCCATTTTTGCTGGTTATTGTAAAAAAAATGTTTATTGGATTATGGCAGCGAAAAAGTTATTGATCTTTTTATTATAATTGCCTTGGTAGTTGTGTGGTTGTCAATAGGACTACTGAGCATACAAGGTTAAGTTGGATTCCTGCAGCCAGGAAATGAACAACTTATTAGGTTCTTTCTAAATTCATAGTAGCGTAGCGAATGAAATATTCTATCAAAATCATTTTTTTTAGTTACTTTTGTAATTTAGTATAATGCGTCAAGCGTGTCTTTGCCCTGTTCTCACATATACGTACAGTATTGGGATATGTATCAGAGAAATTATAGAACACTAGCTGTTGCCCGCGACTTCGTCCGCGTAGATTAATGCCTTCTGACAGAATTCATCATAATCAATTCAGTGCCCAATTAAGATTTACCTATTGTGAAATGATTTATCGTAATTTCAATAAATTAAAAATCCCGCAGGGTTCTTACCAGTCCCGGCCCGATCACGTAAGTTTTGAGTAATAAAAACTTCGACTGTTGTACAGAATCTCTATGAAATAAGTTCAGTGGTTAAAAGATAGAGAGTCCTGGAGCATTGACGCATAGTTCCCGTTCCCGAGGGACTTCTGAGATAAAAACTATCATACGTTACTCAGGTCCCAAATCATCGTTTTACCGAATGTAATTCAAAAAGATTCAATGATTCTAGATTCAATTTTCATTCCCATTTTCACACCAACTATCATTCCCTATTTTATCCCCTTAGGGGTGGAATTCATCAAAATCCTTTCTAAGGAGATACCTATGTCATAGTAACTTTATGCATGCAAAGTCTCAGCCCGATCGGTTTAAAACTGGCAAAGTATCACACAAACTTTCACCCTCTATATTACCCACTTTGGGGTGGAAATGTTCAAAAACCTTTCTAAAGGGACGTGTACGTCATAATATCTACCTGCACGCCGAATTTCAACCCGATCTGTGTAAAACTGACAAAGCCTCATACAAACTTTCATCCCCTACATTATCCCATTGGAGTTGGAAATGATCAAAATCCTTACTTGGAGAT